TAAGTTAATAACAGCAGGAAAACTTTTAACAGAGAATAAAGAAGAACCAGTAAACATTTTAGAACACTATGATCCCAATGACAACAATCTTGAACATTATGATCCTACAAATGAAGGTAAATATTTAGGTAGAGGCAGAACAAATTCTAATTAAATTTTCTATTTTAATTTTTTTGTCTATTATTCCCTCAGAACATAAATGACTGACAAAGAGAAGAGAGAGAAAAGAGTAAGTTTTAACCCAGAGCCTAAAGTATCTCTTGTAAGTACAGATAAAGATATACAGACATCAAAGGGCCATGAAAATACATATAGATTCGATTCAAGAAGAGACAAACTTGATCTCAGAAGTATGTTTAGAATAGATAAATGTGTAAACAAAGAGATCACTGAGGATCTTAAGTATTCAGAATACACTACTGAGGAAATGAAAGTAGAGGATATAGAGATAATAGAGAATGTCAATCAAACAAAAGAAAAAGCAGTAAATCAATTTTTTGAAAAACACGGTATAAGATTTTTGGATAATCAATTAGATGATTTTAACAGAAGAGAGTCAATATCTAAGACTAAAAATAATGTAGATCCAGAATGTGTATATTGGTATGCTTTTGTTAAAGAGGCTTATATAAATCATTTTGATAACATGACTAAATATTTATTAGAACAAAATAGTAGGTTGCAATGTTTAATAAATGCAGAAGCAAGTACTTTAAATGTAGATCAATTGGGCGATTCTATAAATTTTAAGAAATTACGTAATGAATCTAGAAATCAAGCTAAACAAAATTGGTATGATTATAGGATTGTTCAAGAAGAGAATTTGGGAAATAGATTAGAAGAAAGTAAAAATAAACTTTTAGAAATAATAGAAGAAAAGAGGACAATATTAGAAGCTAAGAAAGAAGAATGTGAACTACTTGAAAATAAAAACAAGTTTTTATCAGAAAAAAACATAAAATTGAAAGAATCAGTGATTGATGAAAATGAAGAAGAATTACAGAATAAGGTTGAAGAGTTAAGAAATAGATTATATGAACATAAAAGTTTACTAGGTTTATATAAAAGTGATCTATCTCGAATTAAAAATCAAGCAGAAGAAAAGAGAAGTAAAGAAGAAAAGATTGCAAAAGAAATTGGATTTTATAAAAGTGAGATAGAAGAATTAAAAAGTATAATAACAATAAAAAAAGCAGATAAAAACACAGTAGAAGCACTTAAAGAAGAAGTTAAAAATTATGAAACATATTACGGTCTTAAATTTATTAAGATATCATCAGATGTTTTAGTTTTTAAATACTTAGATATACAAATAAGTTGTGTTTTGGAAGGATTGTTTAGAGTGTCATCATATAAAATTGATTTTTTTGATTCAGATGATGAAGTATTTAATACTTATTTTAAAGACAATTTATTAAATAAGAGTTTAAATAGAAGTCCGGTAGTAGAAACCCCGATTCAAGAAGATATAAATGGATCAATAGTTGAGGATCATAATATTTATAGAAGGAGTCTTAAATCAGCTTTACAGAAAAAGCAACGTAAACATTCAGATAACTATATTAATACAGAAGATTTAGGTCATTACATCAATGATGTTACTTCAACACCTGTTCCTCGCAGAATATCAGTTGTACCGGCTAAAACACCAAGAGAAAAGTTTATTAGAAATTTTAAAAAATTAAATTTTGGAGATGATGCATCATGGGTTGATCAATTAAATAGTTTGGCAGAGAATAGCACATCAAAAGATGCAATGGTATTTGAAAATATTTACAGCAAATATAAAAATGAAAGCATACCATTACGTTTACTTGTAAATTCAATATTGTTTAAAGTATCATTTCTTAATAATCTTAAAAAAGAAATAGAACTTTTAAGAGATTCTATTAAGATAGACACTATTTACACCAATCAAAAGATTTATCTCAGGTTTTATTTACAGTCTATTGATATTAAACTACCAAAAGTATATGCTTATATTGATGAGAATTTAAATTTATTCCATGATAGCAATTTTGTTTGTAATCTTTTACAAAAGTTGAATGGACTTACTAATTTTTTAATAAAAATTGTTGAAAACAAATAAAATCTTTTATAAAATTAATTTAACCCTCAAATTAATGGAGGATGATTTTAAAAAGCAGCAACTTAAGACAGAAGCAAAATACAAACTATTAAAAGAAAAAATGAATTCACTTAAAGAAGTAAGGGAGTCTTTGAATCATTTAAGATTAGATGGCATACCGTTGATTTGCTTAATTGAACATATTCAAAAAATGAAAGAAAATGCAAGAATTGAATTGAGAAATAAAGAAGAGGAGATTATGAATCAAAATTTGAAGAAAAATAAACATGTAGAAAATAATGAGGTAAGTGAAATTAACAATGATATTTTATACGATTCTTCTTCTTTAAGTAAAGATATAGAGGTTAAAAAGAGTAAAGTGAGTAAAAAAGAAGTTAATGAGAATGTTGAAAGTTTAATAGTGGAATCCGAGGAAAGAACAGTGGAAACAGAGAGTAATATAATAGAAAGTAAACCTGTAATTAAAAAATCAAGAGGTAGACCAAAGAAAGTGAAAAAATCTAAAAATAAACCAAAGAAAATAAAAGAAGAAAGTATAATTGAAGACATAAAAAAATCTGATGAGATTAAAGATAAAACTAAGAAAATAAAAGGTAGATCAGAGAAAATAAAAGAAAAAATTATTGAAGATGTAAAAAAATCTAATAAAATTAAAGAAAAAAATAAGAAAACAAAAGGTGAATTAGAGAAAATAAAAAAAAGACAAGAAACATCTAATAATACGATAATCTCTTCCTCTAATAAAGACGATAGTAGTTTTATTGATAATGATGATTTAATAAAATCAAGAAGATCAAGATTAGTGTCAGTTGATATACCAATAGAAAGGCAAATGAATAGTGTATCAAGTATAATTAAAGATGAAAGATTTAATATTAATAATATTAGTAATAAGAATATTAAAAAATCAAATGATAATAAAAAAGTAGATAATAAAATAACCAAA